CTGAATCTGCTGGCAGTTTATTTGCCATTTATAGAGAAGGAAAGGGTGGGAAGAAGGGGCGGATCTAGGATTTTAGGAGATCAGGGGCTTAGCCCTGAGGGTGCAGATGTCACTCCTTTTTTTCGTCTTTTTTTTGCCGCCTCGCACACAAAACCAAAATTTGTGTGTACTTCAATTTACGCAAGCAGAGAGGCGTTGAGAACCGTCTCATCCAACCCAATCAGCTTTATTTATATAGCACATTTAAAACAGAAACATGTTGACCAAGTGTTGCACATATAAAATACATAATAAAATAAAAAAAAAATCATAAAATAATACCGTATGAGAGAACAATTAAAAAAATATAATAAATACGATGAAATGAAATGGGAAAATCAGCTAAAACATTAAACAGCACACAGTTCCTTAACTGTGCTTATTCCTCTCTTCACCAACAGCAAATCATGTGGATTTGTTGACATGTGTGCGTTATTTGCCAAAATTAAAGGAGGGGAACCATCTATTTTAGCTGACTGAAATAATCTGTTCCCCCTTTTATGATCTTTATCAAATGTATTTTCTGTTTAAATATTTATCTAACAATTTACAAAAAAAGTTCAAACTAAAACCACTGGACTATGTTTTCCTCCAGACATTTTAAATTAAGAATTAAAATACATTTCATAAACATCATCAAACCAACAGTGAGATTTATTTGAACTATTTTGGATTTCAAAATATTAAATAAATGTTTCAAACATAATAAATGAAAAATAATGGAGGATTTGTTTCTTTTTTTCCCATGGGGAAATGGATTATATCAGGTGGCTAAAATATTTAATTTCCCTCTCATAACTCTGGCAAAAAATGATCAAATGTATTCCAAATCCACAGAGTTTGTTGTTGATGAAGAGAGGAATAAACACAGTTAAAGACTTGCAGGTGAATTAACACCCCCCATAAATAAAGAGCAACTGTTTCCAAATTCCCAAAAATTGTTATGTGTGATATCATGTCATATACTAAAAATTCCCTTAATCCAGTAATCTCTCATATTTCACATTGCCCTTTAAAATCAAAACAGCGTAAGAAGACCTCGTCTACTTATTTATTTTACAATTTTTTTTAAACAACAGCTGTCGCTTAAACTTGATGCTACAACCTTTACATCATTGTGAGTTATTTTTACCAAGAAATGGATCAGAAGCGCAGATCCGCCAGATGCGCCTATCTGGCTCCAATGCGCACTCCCAATACAGGGAGGACAGAATTAGGGGAACATAGGGGAACAGAATTTCACAGCAGACCGGGAGAAAAAAAGGCTCTGATTCAGTCAAAGCTTCACATACCTGGGACATCAGTCTGTTTAGCAACAACTGGTGGTGGTGCTGGTGGTCCAGCTGTCTGCTTTTTAAAAAAGCTTCTGATATCCATTGATATCCGCCACTGGCCTATCCCTGTTTAAATTTGCTGCGCGGAGATGCTCGACTCCTGAAGCTGGCAACGACGAGAGGGAAACACTTCTTCCTCTGCGTGGTAATGCTACAGGCTGCTTTCCTGCACATGCTGCCACTATCTGGGGAATTCCAGTACTTCACATTTTACTCAGATCAGTTCAAAAGCGAAGATCCGGGGCTTTTGGGGAAACATCAGGGGCTGAAGCCCAAGTAGCCACCCCCTAGATCCGCCTCTGGTGGGAAGACATACAGAAGAAATGGTCTGCTTTTACCACTTTACCGACTTTTCCCTCCCTGTCGGTGGGTGTGCATATAAATAAAGCAAAGATCTTGCTAAATATATTTTTACTTATTCTATTTTTATTTTAAGCAAAGGAATTGCTAAATATTTGTATTTAATTTTATAAAACAAGCAAGGAACTGGATTTTGACCCTTTTTAGATCTTTTTGGACATAACCAGAATCCATGGTGCATCAGGTGACTATTAAAGTTAAACTCACATTTTTCTTTGATCACCTTTAAGTCTTTGGTTTTTTGAGTTTTGAATCTGAGTTTTGTACAAATAGTCACTACAAAGATTATTCATAAATAACTATCTGATTTGAAATTGGTTCATTTTGTGCAGTTTAAATTTGTTTGCAAATATTCTTCTTTTCCTTAAAGTGTTTTAAAAACATGTTATAAATCATGATTTTTTTTCTCCATCCATCCATCCATCCATCCATCCATCCATCCATCCATCCATCCATCCGTCCATCCATCCATCCGTCCATCCGTCCATCATCCATCCATCCATCCATCCATCCATCCATCCATCCATCCATCCATCCATCCATCCATCCATCCATCCATCCATCCATCCATCCATCCATCCATCCATCCATCCATCCATTCGCCAGTCCAATGTGGGATTTTTTCTTGATTTTCATTGAAATTGGTCTGCAGGTAGACTGCACTATTTATGGTTGAAGCAGGATAATATATTTCTATTTGATAACTAAGAATAAAATTGTAATTTTCTTCAAAAATCGTTTATCTCCTCAACCTGTTTTATTTCATATTGTACTTCTAGATCCACTGTTTGCACAGTCCCTAAAACCTTGGGGTAACGTTCGAAAAAATCAGATTGTGCAACCTTTGTGTTGCAGCTAGAGAGACATACTTACGTGTCACATTACAGTCAGTGGCTAGACCAGTTGCATGGACTGCTGTTGGTTTTCAGTAAATGGGAATAGCTTTATCTAAACAGCAAGAAGTGAAGTGTGTATTTCCTGTTTTTGATTTAGCTAAGAATCCAAAAGGATTGGCATAGCTCACGAGTGTCAAGGGATTTTACAGTATTTGGCTATCACCCTTTTAGTGGCCCCACTGATCAAAGGGCAGCTGCACTCTTTTAGTCAGAATCAACAGAGGGGTGATTGCAATAAGCAAATCTTAAAAATTCAACATTGTTTAATGTTCTGCTTCTTTCATGTGATGTTTTTAAGATTCAATCATGACATTGTGTCTTCTCAGGAGAGTTCTCCTTGCAGCCTTGACATTTGTATGCTTATTATTCCACGTTTAAAAAGACCACAAAGAACCCTTAACTATTTTCAACGCTTCTGTACTAAATTTTTAATAAAGGTCAGACTCTGACTAATCAAATTAACCTAATGCAAACTTCAAGTTAATCTTTCATGCTCATAGTTAAACCTTTTCGGCTGATATCCATCTATGAGTATCTTATTTCCCATAATCTTGTTGGATTAGGTGATGTTAAAGTCAGATTATTATAAATGCCGATTAGATTTAGTTTCAAACGAATCCAACTAATCCTCATTTTGGTCTGAAACTGAATATGAACTTTTTAAATATAGGATGCTTCCAGGATTACATAGCCTTGGTTTCATTGGATCTTTTAAGTAGTGCCCAGAACTTATTTGGCATTTACTGTTTTTTTTTTTTTTTTATCTCAGTGATGACAGAAACCATTAGAGAAGGAATGGTGGGTAGACATACAGCAGAGATGGTCTGGTTTTTCCACTTTACTAGCTTTCCAGTGAAGCCACCTGTGATTGCGTGAGATTTACAGTTGAGGTTCACCGCTTACTGCTGTCACGTAGACGTCCCCTCAGGAAAATACCTGCCGCCCAGTGTGCAAAAAGTTTCCATGAAATTCAAACCATAGACAGTTTAAAGATGTCACAGTAGGCACGTTATGCTCTGAGAAAACCTGAAGAAAATTCCCTCCGCAATGCAGTATGATGTCGGATTAGTTCAAATCTGTTAAAGTATTCTCTCACTTAAACCTTTGCCTCCCTGTTATTTGCTTTGGCTAAAACTGGGTGATAACTCAAAGATTGTAACTCAAGGAGGAGAATTTTCCCACACAGTTGAACAAGGCTATAAGAAACCATATTCTGCTGATAGGTAACAGCGCTTCCTTAAAAAACCACTGAAAAGAGAGCCATGATCTATAGTTACCAATGTCACCAGCAGGTTCTCATCCATTAACTATTAGCAATCTGAAGGATCTTTTCTTATTTGGGGTCAGACACCAAAAGGCTAATAAACTCATGAAAAACTAAGAAAAAAAAAATGTGCATATGTTCTCAGCATGATGTAAAACAGGACAAAGGATTCAACCCATCAGGCTCATTTTACTAGCTTCAAGAAATTTGCTGCAAGAGGTGAGGCTAGAGCGCTAGCTTTGAGGCAAACAAAAACGGGTTAATTTAGTAATTTCTTTCTCAACGGTTGGGTTTAAATGCCACAAAGCAACACATTTGAAAGCTTTGGTTAAATCACGACAGTGATTTACACTGAAGTATAATAAAAAGGCGAAAGCAAGAAAGGTTGTTTGAGATTTTAAACAGCATTTAAAAAACACACTTAAACACATTATCAGGGATCTTAAATGTTTTAATAGATAAAATAATTAGATTTAAACATTACAGATGGAAGCTTTTAACAATCACAACAGGCTTTACAGAGAATACAAAAACACTTTATCCTCAGTTTCCTGTATTCTCATATCAAAAATAAACAGAAGAAAAGCAATTCCTCCTTCAGGGGTTTTAAGTTCATCAGTGAAAATACCAGAATAAAACTGGAATAATTCTAATTGGGCAATAGCTCATCTGTCTTAAACTTTTGCATACAATAATGTAAAAAAAAATATATGTTCATAAACTTCAAAGGCTTTTTTCTGTATATACACACAAGATGGTACATTGAGGTTTATTTTCCTCACTCTCTTCTAATCAGGTTTTACTATAAGAAGTGGAAAAAAGTGCTTGGTCATTCAAGCTTAGTGTTTTTCATATAATTTGATTTAATCAGCTTGGCTGATAGGACCGAAACCTTTGTGTCAAAGTTCAAGACATTCAAACCTTTCAAGGAAATTAGCTAAAATTTCTTAGAATTACTGATAAAACACATTTTTATTATGGAGTTTATTACCCAAATTACACTGTAGTTGGCTGTAGTACTCTTGTATAAATAAGTAACTGTTCTGCTTTTAAAACCACATATCTGATCAAATGTAGGATTTAAGTCAGATAGCGCAGCAATAATCCAACCTCTGACAGACTACTGCAGACGGATTAAGGAATAGGCAGCAGGAACTTAAACACCTTTAAGGTTACTCAAGTTTATCACTTAGTTTTGATAAAGATAATCAAGTTATAGTAGCAATATTATCTAACAATGTCTCATTTTATGAATACTAATGCAGTGATGTTGACTTGGGTACGTGACGTTAGCTCACATTTGGAAAACGGTTTTCTTCGAAGAGTGATTTTTCTCTGACCTCTCCTCTAAATGTTTGAAAATGTACAGAAGATCCAGATAATGTGCTGTGAATATAGTCTAACAGGCTGTGTCCAGTTAAAGCACAGAGGCCAGTAAACAGCCCTAACACAACCAAATATAAAAACAAAAAAAGACAGAAGTTAACTGTTCGTGTCAGCTGACAGATTTTATATTAAGGCTGGAAATCTGAACACAAAAAAAACAAAAGAAGTGTGCTCATTGGCTCAGAGCACAAAGCGCTGCCATCTCTGCCAGCTGTCAGTGACCGTTGATGATGCTCTGAGACGTGGATGCGGCTGATGATGGAGAGACCGGAGACGAGTTGGTGGTGCTGGTGAAGAAGTTGTCCTCTTTCAGTTTGCTGTTCTCTGGGAGATCCAGCATAACCTTGGCCTGCTCAATGTCACTGTTGATGGCTGCAATTAGGTCCTCTGATGACACCGGTGAAAAGGCAGCAGAAGAAAAAAGGGAGTTGAATTATTTGGATTCTACATAACTAGAGTAAAAATGTCTAAAGAAAACCTCTGAGTCAGATAAGCGTACCAAGTGAGGGATAGCTCTTCTCTGAGCGGATGTAGCCCACCATAACCACACTCAGCATCTCTCCATAGAAGTCTTCTTTAAACTTATGAATGATGTGCGTCTCCTAGAATCCAAAAAAATATAAAACATTTTGGTGACAAAATCTATGGAACTACTTCATCGTGTAAAGCTGTTTAGGGAAGTGCTCTCTGAGACTGCAATGCCTTCTCTGTGTGGTTAGTGGGAATAACAAACTAGAGGCCAAAAAAAACACTACTTGGCAATAAAGCCTATTCTTTTCAATGTAATAAAAAAGAAAAAGGCATCTAAATAATAAACAAGAATGTGCATACCCAAGTTTTTAGTTTCTTTTCTCATCCAATTTTTAGTTTCTTATCCCCTCATTGATATTTTAATGCAAAACTGATCTTAGCAGTTTTTTGGTTGCCCATTAAACAAGCATAAAAATCTTAGCAAGAAGGTTCTTGGGAAACCCATCGTACAAACAGAAACCTAGTCCCTCTCCTTGGTGCACTTTGTCAGCCTTATGAAGGAAAACCCTCCTAACATGAGGATTATCTCAAATTACAAAGACAAACCACAGAATCTTCAGTACTTATGGGTAGCTTTTCATGATTTTGGCCACCGTAAAATATTTGACACCACCTTAAGTGCACAATGACCTCTTCCCTGCATGCTTTTCTGATATATTTTTTATCCATGTAACCGATGAGATCTACAGTAGGCCTTTATCCCCATTGTTACAGTCAGCTTTGCACCTACTCCTCCATCTTTTTAAGGAACATTTATTTTGTAATGCATCAGTCCTGCTGAATGCTTCTGTGAAAATAAATAAAACCTAGACATTTTTATTAATCGCTTAATCTCTCCCAGAAAAATAAATAAATAAACAAAGAAAATAAACTTTACTGTCCTCTAGCCTAAGTTTTTCATGTATCAATATTTATTATTATCTTTGTTTTGATGCAGAATAAAGCTAAACTTAAAAAGCTGTTTTCTAATTAAAACAGTTTTTAAAGGCAACATATACACACACACACACATATTTTTTTTTTTTTCCATTTGGTTTACTCTGAGAAATACTGTTCTAAATGGAATGGAACGGAGAAGTGAGTTATACAACTGTGGATGGAGATATGTCTAATGACCACTGGAACGCCATCAGTTTAAAAAAGAAGAAATACCACATTCCATCTAGCAACTGCAAAACGGTTTTAAAGTGAGGGTGGTTTCTTTATGATCTTAACGTCTTGGATAAAAGCCAACCAAAGTTCTTCCTACCATGGATTTCTTTGTATTTTTGTAGTAAGGGTTCCAGCCGATGCTCATCACCATTTTGTAAACATCCCCATTCCCGACACAAGCCCAGCCATAATAGATTCCTGTGCTAATATCTGCTGGAAGATTGTCCACCACCGAATCTGGGAAGTTGGCTGGAGATACGAGAGAAGGGACAGAGGGAGGGAAGAGGAATAAAAACAAAATAAAAGGCAGAGGTAAGCAAGCAGATTAACAATGTGGCTTATAAAAAGGTTGAATTTAGGCGTTTCTGCAGGGGAACAAGTATATTTCTAATTAAAACCAGAGTTAATCTAGAAAAGATGCTGTTTGCAAGTCTGTGTTATTTGGTTTGCTTTAGATCTATTGTGACCCAGCAGTGATAAAAAGCGTGCTTTACAAAGATATTCTCCTACATTATGGAAAATGAGACAAGTGAAAACTGAGCTCAAGAAAAATAAATTGCAACTGTCAAGGCATGCCTCTCTTCTTCTGCTCATTTTTGTTACTAAGCAATTTAACATTCAGTGGTTACATGTTTTTGAACCAACTTTTATAGCCTGACTTTATGGCTGTATGCAATAATGAGAAAACTGAATCACTGACAAGAGTCATCAACGTTTGATCGGTGTGAAGTTAACTGAGTAAATAAGGCACCAGGATTTATCTGGAGCAGCTGGCTGCCCTGAACAACTTGCGTGTTACCGCTTTGGTTAAACTGACGCCCATCTTTACCAGAATATCTGTAAAATCCCTGCTTTATCTGCTAACTTGGTTTTGTGAAAACAGCCCTCAAATATCCCGAACATCATGTAGTAATATATGCCTTTAACAACAACAAAAATAGTCTTTAATACCTTGGGAAATATACAACTTGATGTTTTAAACTTCTATTGTGTTCAAAGCTAAAGCCTCTGCATCCTATAATTATTGTTCGATATTTGGGAACTTATGTTAAATCCTGTAAATGTTTTAATGTGTAAAGATGAATTTGTTCCTGTTTTCAGAGACTAGGGCAGTCCTACAGAGAGCTAACTGTATGAAGAAAAAAATTAAAATGTATCACAGAGGAGAAAAATAACTATTGTTAGAAAAAAGAAAAAAAGTTAAACTTATACAATGATCATGAAGAGCATTATCTATAAGGTGACCAGAGTTCTTCACTCTAATCTGGGGACATTTCCAGCTCATAGATAAAAATAAATATATTTTATGAAAATTAAAATAGGAAACGGGGATGGTGATGTTTTCGTCAATTTTTACATATTTATTTATATTTAAATATAACATTAAATAAATAATAATAATAATAATAATAAATCAAGTGTGAAATCCAGGAATGTTCCATTTCTTAAGATAAATAATATTAATCAATCAATAGTGTTTATTAGTGACATTCAGTGTTCTCTGTCTTCTTCCCTTGTGAGCAACAGAACATTGTGTTCAGAGACAGGAAAGTTTGCATTAATACAGTCTGTGGGAATTTTTTCATTACAAAAAATTTTAATGAAACTTATGTATATATATATATATATATGTATATATATATATGTATATATATATATATATATATGTATATATATATATATATATATGTATATATATATATATATATTGTATATATATATATATATATGTATATATATATATATATATGTATATATATATATATATATATATATATATATATATATATATATATATATATATATATATATATATATATATATATATATATACACACACAAATTGAAAAACATATATTTTTTCCCAACATAATGATAACTATAAAATGAAATGGCCTCCAGCTGTTTCTACTGTATCCTGGACAGCTGGATGGGGTAGCCTCTAACAGCCTGGATTTAAATCTGTGTCACTATTAAAAAAGTGATGTTCGATTGTTATATTCAGATTAAATTACAACAATTAAAACATCTATAAATCTGGATCATTCTCATGAGAAGCTTGAAGCAGCCACAACAAAAATACATGTTTTCTCATTACCTGTATAGATGAATGAAAAATAAGCTCTCAGGGCCAGCATAAAAATAAATCTGTCCTTTAATAAAGTTATAGTGAAACCTAACAGGGATATATTTTCACAATCCTTTTTTCTATTCACAGATACAGCTTTTTTTTTTCTTTTTTTAAATAAGCTGTTATTATTTTTGATAGGATGTAAATTTAAAGATGATATGATCCTAGTTATCCCTGTTACAAAAATCCATAACAAAAAGAAAATATTTGGGCAGAAGCTTTTTTGAATATGTCATATTAAATTAAGCGTTAATTTTCGCACGTTTTGCTCCTATGAATTGAATAATAATATTACACATGCTTTCCTCGAGCTCCGAGGAACTAAACTAATTAAAACTAGTGCGTTCTGTTCCTCATTTATGCGTTAACAGCGCGCGCTCTTTCTACCGTAATAACTGTATATATGCAACCTTATCCCCTTCATTCATAAACGGTAAAATCGGGGACAGGTGGTCTAATTATTACCCTAATTATCTGGAAACTGTCAACAGCTAAATGACGCTATAAAACATGCTGAATTATTTAATTAGCCGAACATTGGTTCCGGATCTTTCACCGTTTTAGGTTACATGAAACATAATTGCTGTGTTTGAACAGAGAGTAAAGCAGCACTTTAAGCGAATAGAATTACGCAACACACTTGTTTCTACGTACAAAAAAAAAAAAAAAAAAAAAAAAAAAAAACGTAAATATATATGTACCGCTTTTTGCTAATAACGATTTACTAAGCTGCATGTGTTATTTATAAATTACTAAATACATTGATTTATTCCGTTAGGATGTGCACCCTTCACGTTGTATTGGAAATCAGAAAGAAAAATGGCAACACACGCTTTACGTTATTTACGTAGACAATTACATGTATCAGGTTAGCTAACTGTCAACCTCAGAAAGGACTAGGGTTAATTTCGTGTCTCACCAGTGGGAATTCCGAGTTCTTTACTTCCTCTTCCGAATCCTCGAATAACCTCTCCTCGGCAGAAGTACGGCAGACTCTTCATGGCTTATACCCGAGAGCAGCTGCTTTAGTCGGGGCTACAGAATGACCTCGAACACGGCACAAGGAAGTGAGCCTGGTTCCAAAGCCAGAGTGCTTCCAGAGGCTAACACACTGATGACTAGTCTCTACTTATTGTGAAGTCCAAGTACCAGTTTGTGTGTATGGTTAGCTTATCCTAACAAACTATATCGATCAATCTGGTTCGAGTTGATCCGTCACTAAACAGAAATGGTGACAGTTAATCAGCTATGCTAACGACGCTAACTAGCTCTATCAGCCTAGGATCCTGAAAGGGGCGGCGCCGCGTTCAGGTTTCAATCCGCTAACTCGGAGGATGAAAGTATTTGTTCGTAGCGCGATGATGGAGATCAAGCTCAAAAAAGCCGGTAACGTTTAACATGTGTTTGAGATCTCTGCGTCACGTAAGCGTTGCAGATGATGTCACTGACCCCGTGACAGGGACCGCAGGAGAAGTCTCATGGTGCTTTTAGGTGCTGTGGGAAATAAAATGTTTAAAAAACACGGATTTATGTTTGAAATATGACGCTGACTTCTTTTTCTTCATTTCTGAACCTGATGAAACGGGTTCAAATACGTGTGTATTGGAGAGATGAGTGGCTGTCTCTGAACCATTTTTAATAAAAGTTATTAGGTTTCCACATTGGTTATATCGCTGCACCGTGGCGCCACCTAGTGGAGTGAAAATTAACTGGCGCGAGAGAACAGGTAATTATAAATAAAGTTCTGTCAAGCTTCACTACAGTATACATCGCTAAATCAAGCAAATATGCACATGCTAATATGTAAAAATATTATAAAATAGCTCCTTGTTTTGGCCGTTTTACACACCTTTACCAACATCATGCTTACAAAGCAGTATAATTAACAGTGCTGAAATGCATTTTATAATTACATAGACTGTAATAAAAGTAGCTTTGCATACTGCAGTTAGTTCTATTTCCCTTTCAGACTGTACTATAATAAAACCAGTACAATATTTCTTCTTCTGCTTATTCATTCATTCATTCATTCATTCATTAATGTTTGAAATGTTTCAGTTGAGTTGTTGCCTCTCCATTTTCCCCCCAAAGCATGACTGGTTGCCAATACTACCCATTTACTTTGCGAAAATTAATGGGACTCATAATCTTAATTTGAGTCTTACATTGAATCTAATCTGACAGCTTAAAAAAATAAATTGACACATTGTCTTAAAGCCAGTCAATCCATCTAAAACTGTAGTCTGAGGTGGCTGATGACTAGGGTGCAATCATTTATATATATGTATACATATATATGTAAATATATGTATATATAACTATATATGGAATAGAATAGAGTGAGGAAATTATGTTGTTACAACAGGAAACAAATGTAGATCACTTAAAAGTGTTTAAAAAAACATAATAATGAGGAGTAAAAAAATAAACACATAAAAATACTGTACTGTTTTATAGCTGCTGGGAGGAAGGATCTGTGATAACGCTTCCTGGAGCATGTAGGGTGCAGTAGTGTGTCACTGAAGGAGCTCTCCAGTTCTGCAACAGCTTCTTCCATGGTGTGGGAGACATTATCCAACAGAGATGTTATTTTAGTAAGGATCCTTTTGGTTCCCGCCTCCTGCACTGAGACCAGAGGGCATCCGATCACAGATCTGGCCTTCCTATATATATATATATATATATATATATATATATATATATATATATATATATATATATATATATATATATATATATATATATATATATATATATATATATATAGAGAGAGAGAGAGAGAGAGAGAGAGAGAGAGAGAGAGAGAGAGAGAGAGAGAGAGAGAGAGAAGTGTAGATATATATTTGTGTATACCTGTATAAATGTGTTTGTGTGTATAGTAATAAAAAAAATCTAAAAATGTACCAATGGCTGTGCTTTCCAACATATATACCCTATCATACTATATCATACTATACTAATCTTAACCCCATTAAGAACATTTAAATACACTCAACCAAGTGTTTGTTTACAAAAAAAAAAAAAAAAAAACACGGGAGATTTTGTTAAATATTTAGCGAGTTAAAGTTGATTAAAATTGATTCTGTGCCTGCTTAACACACACTGAGCGCCTCAAGATGGCGCCACTAGGTCAAGTCAGAGTCCATGGGAGAGATCGGTCGAGGCGAGGTCTGCTGTTATATGTATGACTGTGTCTAAAGCATACAAGACGAGGGTCCCAGATGATCCGGAGGAGGACTGTGAGACGGTGATGCAGTTTGATTGGATAAAAAAGAGTTTTGGATAAAAAGTATTTGGAAGAAGGATAACTATGGCTGCGTCTCAATTCGCAGGCTGCGTCCTCGGAAGTACACTATATTGCCAAAAGTATTTGCTCACCTGCCTTGACTCACATATGAGCTTAAGTGACATCCCGTTCCTAATCCATAGGGTTCAATATGACGTCGGTCCACCCTTTGCAGCTAGAACAGCTTCAACTCTTCTGGGAAGGCTGTCCACAAGGTTTAGGAGTGTGTTTATGGGAATTTTTGACCATTCTTCCAGAAGCGCATTTGTGAGGTCGCACACTGATGTTGGACGAGAAGGCCTGGCTCTCAGTCTCCGCTCTAATTCATCCCAAAGGTGTTCTATCGGGTTGAGGTCAGGACTCTGTGCAGGCCAGTCAAGTTCATCCACACCAGACTCTGTCATCCATGTCTTTATGGACCTTGCTTTGTGCACTGGTGCACAGTCATGTTGGAAGAGGAAGGGGCCAGCTCCAAACTGTTCCCACAAAGTTGGGAGCATGGAATTGTCCAAAATGTCTTGGTATGCTGAAGCATTCAGAGTTCCTTTCACTGGAACTAAGGGGCCAAGCCCAGCTCCTGAAAAACAACCCCACACCATAATCCCCCCTCCACCAAACTTTACACTTGGCACAATGCAGTCAGACAAGTACCGTTCTCCTGGCAACCGCCAAACCCAGACCCGTCCATCAGATTGCCAGATGGAGAAGCGCGATTCGTCACTCCAGAGAACGCGTCTCCACTGCTCTAGAGTCCAGTGGCGGCGTGCTTTACACCACCGCATCCGACGCTTTGCATTGCACTTGGTGATGTATGGCTTGGATGCAGCTGCTCGACCATGGAAACCCATTCCATGAAGCTCTCTGCGCACTGTTCTTGAGCTAATCTGAAGGCCACATGAAGTTTGGAGGTCTGTAGTGATTGACTCTGCAGAAAGTTGGCGACCTCTTCGCACTATGCGCGTCAGCATCCGCTGACCCCGCTCCGTCAGTTTACGTGGCCTACCACTTCGTGGCTGAGTTGCTGTCGTTCCCAAACACTTCCATTTTCTTATAATACAGCTGACAGTTGACTGTGGAATATTTAGGAGCGAGGAAATTTCACGACTGGATTTGTTGCACAGGTGGCATCCTATCACAGTTCCACGCTGGAATTCACTGAGCTCCTGAGAGCGACCCATTCTTTCACAAATGTTTGTAAAAACAGTCTGCATGCCTAGGTGCTTGAATTTATACACCTGTGGCCATGGAAGTGATTGGAACACCTGATTCCAATAATTTGGATGGGTGAGCAAATACTTTTGGCAATATAGTGTACGTAGATAAAATACATGAAATGGGCTATACAGAGTAACTACAGCCCAGATGTTCCACTTAATATTTTAATGAATGTATTATTTTGCTTGATACAGAGAGAGCATAGTAGGTAAAATATAAGAGTGGGGTTTAACTCTGCACAATTGTATATCTTCAAAAGAAAATACTGTATTTACCTTCTCTATTAGTCATGCAAATGAAACCATTTACAAAGTGGAAAACAGTCCTAATTCCACATTCATCAGAGCCTGTGATACTTCAAACATTGATAAACAGCATCTAATGAGTGTAGAGCTTATAAAATTTTTATTAATGTAGCAAAATGATGCTTTTCTCTTTTAACAATGAATTCGTCTTATCAGTACGGATGCTCACATCGAGCATAAAAAAGGGCACGCATATTGCAGCACGAATGACACCAGACCAATAGTGTCCCCACCAAAGTTCAAATCAAACC